TTTAGAATTCAAGTTTGATTAAATATTTAATAAATTAAATCAAATTATAAAATATTTATAATTTAAATAATATGATCAGATTTAGAATTAATTAATTCAATCTGTAAATGTCCGAATCTGAATTCTGATATATTTTTATTAAATTAATAATCTTATATATATAATATTAATAAATTCAAATTTGTATGGACTAAATTGGAAAAATCAAAAATTGATGAATTAATATAATTGATGAAATAGAGCTGATGAACTTCAATGCAAAATAAGTATAATTTTCTTGTCAAGTTAGATTTTTTTATCAAATTTTGAATTGTTTCATCAAATTCGAATACGGTTTAACAGACATAAATTATATAAAATTCCGAATTAGATTGGGTATAAAAATTAGTAATTGAATGTGGATTTAAGCTACCTGACTTGATCCAAATCCAATCCATTTCTAGCTATATTTAAATTGTTTAGACAAGATGGTTATACTTGTATGCTTCTATAAGTCAAATTAAGCATCTTTTTGTCATTGATTTTGTATAGATAAAATAAACAAGGAAGATTAGATTATAAGTGAGAACGTCTTTATCCTATAAGTTGATCTTTAATGTAAAGTGAATGACAGTAATGACAAAAATATATTTAAGCTAATTTTGAGATACTAATCTAGTGATAAAAGTATTGTGGACTACATCTTGACAAGGACGTTAACAATTAGATTGGGCAAGTGTGTCATAAATTTCATATCGGACTAAATTTTAAACAGAAGTGTGCTACACACCACAATGTTGATTTTTTTTGGAAAGGTCAATGACCTATGACACTTTTTTTATATTTACTTTCATGTCCTACACCTTTTTCATTTTATTTTATTCTAGTTTTATAAATGCTATATAAAATTTGATTTTCTGGTACACAAATTTAATAGAGAAGAATATAATAAACAAGTTTCTTAATATTTTTCTTTCTTTTTTATAACTTAAGCATTGTTTTAAGCCAATATTATTATTTTTATGGGCAATAAACAGAAAGAAACACTTGAGAAGGCTAAAACTAGAAAATATCAGTCGATTGGTCCAAACAAAAAACAAATATTCTCGTTTGACCCACAATGATAACTTAAATTATATTTCCAGCTCAACAACGCAGGACGTGTTTAGTGTTTCTAATTAACTTAAATAATGAAGTTTGGACGTTAGATATTAAGAGGCGAGCATCCACCGAGAGAGAACCCCGCGGGAATGCCACTTGATGGAAGCAGAGTACCTTAATCGGAGTTGACTTTTGTATTGTATTATTTTCGTTATTAATATTATTTTTTATTTATTAAAATAGTAAATTATGTATTTTTTTCACTTACTAAGATAACGTATAATACAATAAAATTATGTTTAAGAAATGAGAATAGAAATGGAAACACTAAAAATTACATTTGGTAGATGCTTTTATATACAAATTTAAATTTTATTATTTGATAGAATTCTTATTTAGTTGTATAATTATTATAATACCTTCTACTTTTCAAGTAAATGATAAAGTTATTCCATACATAAAAAAATTATAAGTATTTATAATATAATATATTATAAATATTATATATTTATTATATTTATATAATTACAATATAATATATACATATATATTATTATATATATAATTAAATTTAATAATTTAATGTTAGAATAAAAATTTTAAATTTTTAAATATTTTAATATGTTCATAATACATTAATATTTAATTTTTTAATTTTAAAATTCTTTATATTAAAGATCATTTTTTGTGTTTAACTTTTTTTATAATTTTCTTTCTTATTTTATTCTAACATACTATATAAATATAATAAGATAAAAATATTCAGTATATATCAAATATACTTATAGGGATTCTAATTTCACTTTATTCATATTTTCAATTTTATTCTCGTTCCATCAAAAATCATTTTTCCGTAACATATGTCACATAAGGAGTTGATAATCAACTTTTATTGTTTAAGCCCAATCACTAGAGTATTTAGAGTAATTAATAAATATCTAAAGTTAATATATTGGAAAAATTATATATTTATAATTTTTTCAAGATTGGTGAGGTCAGATAATAGAGTTTTGTATTACTTTTTTTCTGGGATATAAACTGAGGGTATATAAGTTGTTGTAGCTGAAAATTTGAAACATTGAAGAAGCCAGTTGAGCCAACGCCTGAACATTCGAGAAACTGGCCACAGGGTGTGAGGGGCTGTCAGGTTTGCGATCTAACATTTCTTTAATCAAATAAAAGAAAAATGAAACTTTTTTTACGTTTAATTTATTTGAGAAAAGTCTGATTTTTAACTTAATTAATTTAACATTACCTTTTTTTTTTATTACAAAGAAAAAGGATGAATATCTTCAATAGACAATTAAAATCACTATATTTATATGTAATTTTTTTTAAAAAAATCAAATAGGGTTGCGCACTAAGAGAAGAGTGCTAGGATCCAAATTAGAGATATTCAATAAACCAAACAAAACCATATTGACTTATTAAATTGCAATTTGGTTCAATTTAAAGTGAATTTTTTATTATATGGTTTGATTTCTAAATTGACACAAATTAAATTGTATAAACAAAATTGAATTGTGTAATGTATGTATATGTGTTTGTATATATATAATTATTTATTTTTTCTTAGAAAGTAAATTTTATTAGTATGAATTTAAACTCTATTATACTATATAAATATATTTATTATATAATTTGTAACTATTATGATTTGTTTATAGATGTTTATAGATGTTGTTGAAATGTCAAATTTAATAGGTTGAAAAAAAAATTTTAAGTTCAAATTTTTAAAAAAAACTTTGTCAAAATTTTTGTGAAAATAACGATTCTTATCTATTTTTTTTTTTTTTGCAAATCTTGTACTGTGTTTTTTTTTAAAATTAAATTAAATTATAAACTGTAATTTAATATAATTTCTAAAAAATTATAAACTTTTTTTCATAAATCATATATTGTGATATTTAAAATCATTCAAAATTAAATTAAATTAGAAACTATAATTTAACATAAAATTTTTTCAATTACAAAATGTAGTTGAATCTGTATTTCATTCTCAAACCCAACCAAATCCAACCACGAGCACCCCGATGTCGACCACCATCAAATAATTGACATTCCTTTCCCAACTAGTTCTAGGGTTGTCCAAAAGAAAAAAGGAATAGACAAATAAGGGAAAAAAAAAAAAAAACAAAAATTCAACGCGGTGCAAAGTATGAACTATTGAACAGTTGAATTTGACCGTCAAAGTTGCACTATGGCGGCTAACGTATCCGAAATCTGGTAGTGGCAGTTGGTAATTCCATCAACTGTTTGGGGCATTTCATTATCAAATGGAAGAGGACAGCACGTGAACAAACAACTTGCTCTCGGAAATATTATGATCCAACGTGATTGTATAGTTAATTGAAGACAACGTTATTGTCCTAATCATTCTTGTCCTTTTATCTTAGGTGATGGTTTCCATCCTTGACGCGTTATGGTTTTGTTCCTTTGTTCATATTTTAATGACCCATTATCATTATCACATGGAAAATTTCATACTCTTGAAAAAAACCACGTTTGCTTCATAGTTTGGTCAGCTTTGACCATGCAAATAGCAAGCTTCCTTCACCTACACCCCCCCCCCCCCCCCGGCCCGCCTCTATCTCTATATATCCATACATTCTCAACCTTTCCACAATATCAAACATCCATCTTGTTCGCTCTAACCCAACCCGGTTTCCACAAAATCTAAAATACATTTCCCCAAAGAGAGATTTTGACAGGGAGAGAGAAGTACTTGTCGATAGACAATATAATGAAGATATTCTTCACGTTCTTGTTCTTTATTCTTCCCCTTGCAACAGCACAACTTCGTTTGGTTTCTATAACTCAACCTGCCCGCGTGCAGAGCAGATTATTCGAGATGTGGTGCAGAAGCAATTCAATGGTGATTCGCTCCATAACAGCGGCTTTGCTTCGCATGCACTTCCATGATTGCTTTGTTCAGTAACGTGCATTTCATGTTCTTGACACCACGCATGCTGCGTAGTAATTTCACTAAGCTCATTGGCTAGCATATTTATTTCAGGATGTGATGCATCAATACTCATAGACTCAACTCCAAGCCAGTCATCAGAGAAGGATGCGGGCCAAACCTAACTGTCCGAGGATACGAGCTCATCGATGAGATCAAGAGAAACTTGGAAGCGGCCTGTCCTGCCACCGTTTCTTGTGCAGATATTATCACATTGGCAACAAGAGATGCGGTCGCTCTAGCCGGAGGAGCCAAATACAATGTCCAACCGGTAGACGCGATGGGACGGTCTCAGACTCCAGTCTGTGAACCTTCCAGGACCAACACTCACTGTGTCCGAAGCCTTCCAGTTTTTTAAGAACAAAGGGCTTAATCTGAATGACATGGTGACATTCTCTGGTGCACACAGTGTTGGAGTTGCCCACTGCGGCTTCTTTCAAGACCGTCTTTCTAACTTCAAGGAACTGGAAGCCTGATCCTACCATGGACTCTGCTCTGGTATCCAAGTTATTCAAGACTTGTGGAACCAGTCCAGCAGCCTTTAAGCAGCGACCCGACGGCATTTTTGATCAAAATAACATCTTTTGTTATGGATAATGAGTTTTACAAGCAAATCCGTTCCAAAAAGGAGTGCTTCAAATTGATCAAGAACTTGCTTTGGATAAATCAAGTGCTGGTATGGTGTCCTCCCTCGCATCTAATGCGCAAGGTTTTCAACAGAGCTTTGCAAAGGCGATGGTGAAGATGGGTAATATTGAAGTTCTTGTCGGAAATGGGGGTCAAATAGAAAGAACTGTAGGGTTTTTAATAAATAAGTTTTTCTATTTGGATGGTTGAGGGTCATAAAAAAATTGTCATATAATTTTTGAATTGCATTAACCAATTGTAATAAAAATAATTTATGAATCTTTCTTCCTTTCCATCTCTCCATGTTTCTTTTTTTTTTTAATTTTTTCTGATTTTCAAGATATGCTTATCTAGATAGCAGCGTTTACACTCATACAGTGTCCATTTGAAAAGCAATAGATCTAACCAACTGTATAAGAAAAAATAATGAAATACAAAGAATCCCAACTCATAACCAGGGCTCAAACTTTACGAATCCCGCTCCCACCCTTTTCCCTTTCTTAGATTTGTTAGAGTTGCCCCCCCCCCCCCCCAAAAAAAAAAAGAGAGAGAGAGAGGAAAAAATCTACTACATTTTCCTAATGCAGTTGCTTTGGTGACGGACTGCAAAGGTACTAGGAAGAGATGTAGTACTTCACAATGTGCTAAATCATAGATGTATTACTTTCTTTTTTTATTCTTCTTTCATTTCTTCTTCCCTTTTCTATCCCCTCTCTCCTAATTATGGCTACAACTACATTTGAAGATTAGGGGGAAATGGGTTGCACTAGTATTTGTCTAGGAATAATACTCCTGATCCAATCGTTTGCTGAGAGAGAAAGCCAGGGATTTATGCCTTGGCCATGATGTTGGTATTAGAATAGTACTCAATTAATCAATTGACTTAGAATTTATTTTTATAAAATAATTCTATTCATTTAATATAATAAAATGAATTTGTAAGACTAATTCAGAATTGAATAAATACTAAAAACTATTTAAAATAAAAGAATTAGAACGGAGTATTTATCAATATGATATCAATTACTAGATTATAATTGGTACTTAAGTGTTTACCAGATACTAAATCCTTCTCTATATCTTCCTAAAGACAATTATAGATAGAGATAATCATTTTAAGAATAGAGAGAGAAACTAACCACTTTATATAACCTCAATGTTTTACATATCATAGAATTTTTGACCTTGACTTATACAACAAAGTGTGTACAGCTCATGGCGCACACTCTAAACAAACAAATCATTCAATATGAGTTAAAATCATAGACATCAATCATTTTTTCACAAAAACAAAGCCATACAATCAACTTTGCCCATTAATGAAATTCCAGCAGTATTTAGTTTTCAAATAAAGTAATAGTATTTCTGTATCTGTCAATTCAACTTGAACACAACATTAGAATTTTTTTATTTTAAAATTTTAATAACTACAAAATTTATCACAATAAAAAAATAAAAATAAGCATCATTTTCTTTCATCCATATTATAAAAATGTCGATGACAACATATATATTTGATATTAATAATTTATTTTACAATATAAAAGTGACCAATATTTCAGTCAATGATATGTTCAATTAATGCTAATAATTTACTTTTACAATATAAAAATCACCAATTTTTTGATTATTAATATTATGCGCCAAATTCTTTAAACACTCACGCTGCATAAAATTATAGTGTCAAAAATTTTGTTACTAATATTAAGAAAATTATAACAATTGTTGTAATTGTTTGTGGCAAGCCATTAATGACGAGCTTAATTAAGAATAATAAGAGTAATAGCTACTAAAGTTAATTGTTACGACACTTGTTTAGTGAAGAAACTTCATTGGTCGTTAAAAGTAGTTTATTAGTGACAATTAATTAGTGACATATTTTACTTCATCGCAATTGAGTTACGTAGATAAGATGGGTTGGGCCGTTAGAAAATTTTGGTATTGTCTTTACTCCAATGCTAAATAAAGTGGACTGTATTGTTGATTAATTTCGGCTTTTCAATTTACAATTAATCTCTGCCTTCAAAAAGGCGAGGAGGGTGGACGAGTAGGGTGGCTGATTTTGAAGGGGACACAGCCGCTTGGATTGCAGCACAAGGTTTCGTGGTTTTGCTTTGGACAATGTCATTAAAAAGCAAGTAGTGAGTGGTCAGATACAGGGTGTACTTCAATCACACAGGGAACTTCAACGAATGAATCACGCTTTCTGGCTTGGGATTATTGGCCCAGTTTGGCAGTTCAATTTAAGTTTGAAATTACTGTTTATGATTTGTAAAAACAAAAAGTATTAAATTCAGTATTTTTTACCAAAATTTTAATAAATATTTTTTCAAAATAGATATCAAATTTTTTTAATGTATTTAATTCAATAAATTATCATCAATTAACTAGATACAAAATTTACTTATTATACATCAAATATATTGATATAGAATAAAGGCTTGAATTAATATTTATAAAAATCACTTTCTAAGAAAGAAAAGTAATTAATTATAAAAATAAATATAAATATAAAAGAAAATAAAAAAATATTCATTTAAAGAGTAAAAATAAATAACAAATATAATGATAAAGTTTTTAATTTTATATATACGTGTATTATATAATTCAGTTCAATTTATATGATTTGTTTAATAATTAAATTATAAATTAAATTATTTTTTTACAAATAAATTGAATCAAATTAAATTGTAATTTGATTAATTTATATGATTTGTTTCAATTCGTCGAAGAACCGTGCTCCAATTCATAATTAGTCACCCTCGAAGATGGCAATAATAAGGTTGTGGCTCATCGAGGTTTAGAACGCCCATAGAAGGCTGTCTCCAGCTAACCCACGTCGCAATGCGTCCAATGTAAATATATTTCTTTAATAATTCAAAACCAAGTATGGTCTGAACTTTTAAGCATTGGCATTTTCCCACTTTCAAACTTGCACTGCGCGGCTGGCTTGTGTTATATACTGAGCAATCTTTAGCATAAAAATTTTTTAGTAATTATTTAAAATATCAATTATTATGGTATTAAATTTGTGAAAAGTTGATTTTTTACTGGGGGTAATCAATTTTATAAATAAGTTTACTATTCAAAAATTAAGTATTGACAATTTTAAATGTTGAATTTCAATGTTGAAAATTTTAAGTCACATGTGATAATAAAAAATAAAAATCATCTATTTTTATTTTCATGCTAAAGCCCACTAATAAATGATTTTTTTTGTACTTAATATTTGAATATATTTTCAAGAAATTTGCAGATTTAAGCAATTAGGTATTAAATATTATCAAATTTATTTAATTTTAAATAATTGAATTGAATTGAATTATTAAAACAGTCAAATTATATCAGTCTTTTTTAACCTTTTTCAATTAATAAATTTACACTATAAGTATTCAATGCACCCAAGAAACCATCTATTATTGCTATGTATTATCTGATAAAGAAAGTCAAGAAGACCGATAAGTTTGAGTAATTTTTTAATCTACCATTATCACTGTCAAGTTGAAATTTTATCTACCAAATATTCTCTCTGTGTTTGACTTTTGTTTAATAGCTAAGAACATCCACACACGAAAGTCTGATGAATATATACGTGGGAAGCAGGAAGCATCCTAGCTGCATGTTCTTGAAAATCTACATTTACTTTCGTAACTTGGTCAGCTTTGGCCATGCAAGTTGCAACTTCACTCCACCCACTTCTTCCTCTCCCTCCCTCCAACCTTTGTCCAATTCATAGCATCGTTGCCTGGTTTTTCAATCAAAGAAAGACAGATACAACTATGAAGATCTCATTCCTATTCCTATGCTTTCTTCTTCCTGTTGTGACAGCCCAACTTCGAGTCGGCTTCTATAACTCCACCAGCCCGCGTGCTGAACAGATTGTTCGAGATGCGGTGCAGAAGCACTTCCATGGCGACCCATCCATCACAGCCGCATTGCTTCGCATGCATTTCCATGATTGCTTTGTCAGGGTAAGTTTCTTTTTATTTTTTCACTACGATATATGGAATAAACTTGTCGCACATAAAACTACTATCATTTTCTGTGTAGTAAATTCATTTTGATTTCTGTATATTTTAGGGCTGTGATGCATCAATCTCATCGACTCAACTCCATGCAAGTCATCGGAGAAAGATGCCGGGCCAAAGCTAACCATCCGAGGATACGAGCTAATATATCAGATTAAGCAAAACCTAGAAGCTACCTGTCCTGGAACTGTCTTGTGCCGGCGTTATCACGTTGGCAACAAGGGATGCGGTGGCTCTTGCCAGAGGACCCAAGTATAGTGTTCCAACCGGCAGACGTGACGGTACTGTCTCAGACCCCAGCCTTGTGAACCTTCCCAGACATACACTATCCGTGTCACAAGCATTGGGATTTTTCAAAGCCAAACGACTAGCTTTAAACAACATGGTAATTCTTCTTGGAGCTCATAGTGTTGGAGTTGCCCACTGCGGCTTCTTTCAAGACCATCTTGTTGGTCCCTGATAAATTTAGCACACACGCAACCCACAAAGGCAGAAATTAAAGAATAGGGATAGGAGAAAAAGAATGACACAGATTTTACGTGAAAACTCAATCGAGAAAAATTACGGGATCGATTAGTTGATCCAGGCAACACTCCTTATATAAAAGAAGAATTACAATGGGATAGATTTACAACTAAACTCCCTGTATATCTCCCTCTATTTTCTTGACTCTCTGTTTCTCCTCACTTCACTCGTCACTTATTACCTGATCACAAGGCTTCCTCATGCTTTGGTATTTATAAAAGAGAAGAGTGGCCATTTTCAACCTCGAGTCACCTTATTACTGTCAAGTCTCCCTATAGTTACCTCGAGCCACCCTTAAAGTGAGACAATCCATTGCCTACTCCCTTGAGCTGACCTATTTGCCTCTAAATTAATGAGGCACTCAACAATTTTCCTTCCGCCAAGTCAATTGGGGAATACAATTCCTATTTTATTATAGCAATTTTCAAACTTTTGAGTAGACAATGTCTTGGTCATCATGTCTGACCAATTTTCATCTGTGTAAACTTTTTCAAGTTGTATTTGTTTTTTTGCTCCAGGACATCTCGAATCCAATGATATCTTATATCAATGTGTTTTGATCCAGAGTAGAATATAAAATTCTTTGACAAGTGAATAGCTAGCACTTTGGTTATTGAAGAATAAGACATAATTTTCTTGCTCTTGACCAAGCTCAAGCAAAAATGTCTTCATCCATAGCATCTCTTTGCAGGCTTTAGTGGCTGGAATGTAATCTGCCTTGGTAGTTGATAAGACAACACACTTTTGGAGCTTGGATTGCCAAAAGATAGCTCCCCATGCAAAGGTAGTTAGATAATCTAAAGCCGATTTTCTAGAGTTGACATTTCCAATCAAATTAGCATCTATGAATCTTTCAAGTATAAGCTTTTCTTTTCCAAAACATAGACATTTGTTGGATGTCCCTCGAAGATACCTGAAAATCCATTTAACGACTTTTCAATATTTCTTTCCAATATTGGATAGGAATCTGCTCACAATCCCAACAGTGTAGGCCAAATCAGGCCTCATACAAATTGTGGCATACATGAGACTGCCAACTGCAGAAGAGTATGGAACATTTTTCATCTTTGCTTGTTCTTCTTGGCTTGTTGGAGATTGGCTTGAACTCAATTGAAATGCACAACTCGTGGTGTGTGAACAACTTTGGCTTTGTCCATGTTGAACCTATTAAGTATCTTTTTAATATACTTTTCTTGAGAAAGTCATAGCAATTTCTTAGTTCGATCTCGAACAATTTCCATTCCCAAAATTTGCCTTGCTGATCCCAAATCTTTCATAGCAAAAGAATTACTTAAGGCTTTCTTGAGAGTGACAATTTTTTTGGAATCATGACCGATGACAAGCATGTCATCAATATAGAGCAAAAGAATTATAAATTCACCACTAGCATATCTCTTCACGAAGACATAGTGTTCATTAAAAGTTTTCTTGAATCCATGGTCAACCATGAAAGAATCAAATTTCTTGTACCATTGTCACACCCCAAACCCAGGCATGTGACCCACATTAAGACTGGTAGACCAACCCTAGTAAACCTCAAATCGGAAACAGAATACAAATTCAAATAGACCAAATATCATAATATCTTAGCACATCACAATCCTGTTTGACAAATAAACTGAAACAACTCTAAAATACAAGTACAATTAAGAACGTCAAGCTGTACAGCAAAATTGACTTAGCAGGAAATGGGTTACTCGATCAGAAATGTGAACCTTCGCTATGATCTGTAAAATTTAAAAGGGTGAGTCACGAAACTCAGTGAATGATAATACAGACTCTAGACATGCTGAGATATACATCGAAATGCATGTCAAAAACTTAGTCAAGTATATGTATACAGTAACTTAGTCAAATTATCAGACAAGCCATAAAAATATACATCATATTCTCAAAGCACAATTTGGCGATTTAGTTATGTGGGAGTATCTCATCATATCATAAATCACATATCACGACAGAACGTATCATGTTAGATGAATCATATATTACATATCACATCAGAACCGGAAACTGAATCAAAACATCAACTTACAATAAAGCGTATTATGTCGGAGGAATCACATGTCACATATTACATTAGAATCGAAAACCAAATCAAAATATCAACTCACGACAGAGAGTGTCATGTCAGAGGAATCACATATCACATTTCACATTTCACATTTCACATTGGGATCCTATATCAAAACTAAAACCATAATTAGAACCAAAACCAAAATCCAAAATAACTCCCAACATAGATTTTCAGAAGTAGTTATAATGGAGGCATGAATTTCAATTAAACATATATTTTCAAATAACTCAATGTAAATTTCAAATAACCAAATACCTGTCCCAATTTTAACTTTTCAAAATCAGAAATCATATTACATCAATTATTTCATAACTACAATAAAATAAATATGCATAGAATAAGTATTATCACTCATAGTCTAAACCAGAACCAGAAACCCAAAGCACCAAAAACAAGCACACGGATCGAAGTGTGTCTCCTCGGGAGCACTAAAATCACAATATCACAGAATCAAAACCAAAACCAAACTCTACCCATTTATGGGCTTTAATACCCAAAATAAACTAAAATCCTATTTCGAGACCTTAGCATGTATACTGAGATTCATTACTAATCCTTGAACCCGAAACAAACTGAAACCAATGCAAAGTTTATATAAAAACCCTTAAATATGGTTGAACCGGTCTCAAGCATCCTTAAACCGGCTTGGTTCAGCTTGAACCGACTAATATCAACCCCGGAACCTATCGAACCATCCATATTATCAATGAACCCACCAAGTACTGGCTCTAAAACCATCAAACAAGCCATGAACCAGACTTTAAACCATTGAACCAGCTTTAAACCATCCTTAAAGTCAACGAACTAGCTCCAAAACCCAATGAATTAGACTTATTCCCACTAAACTGACCTCAAAACTACTGAATCAGCCATGATCATACCTTAAACCCACTGAACTGGCTATGAACCAACCTTAAACAAGCTAAAGAACTAGCCTTAAAAAAGGTGAACTGACCATGAACTGGCCTTAAACACATTAAATCGGTCAAGTATACCCTTGAACCGGGCCTAACCAACTCTAAACTGCTCAAAACCACACTAAATTAAACCAAAACAGCACTAAACCGGCCCTTATTAGCCTTGAACCGAGCTTAAACCAAGCATTTGCACATTATATCGGCCTAAAACCCATTGAACCGATTGGGTTTTTGATGAACCGGCTTTCCCACAGTCAAGATCAGTCAGACCTTCCTAGAACTGGTCAACCAATAACTGAATAAGCCAATTTGGCCTTAAACCAGTTACTAAACCGATTCTGCCCAATTAACCTATGATACCTTATTCCTCCCTGGTTTATCCTATTTTGATTTTGGTTATCTTATCCCAGGAATAACATATTCCAAACCCAATTTCATTTGGGCTAGTCCAAGCCTAGAACCCAAGCCCAACAGGCTGGCCCGACAGCCAAGCCCAGATCCAAAAATTGGCCCAGACCCGAGGCCCCTAGCCCGAACCAGCAAATCCAGGTCATCTTTTTGACCCGAATTACCCAGAAAACCCAAAACTTGCAAACCTATCAAAAGTAAAATTTGATAAATTACCTCAATTTTTTTTGCAAAATGATCCCTTAGACTTGCATGGATTGATGAATCAAAGGCCACCAAAGGGTTAATTTAACTTTTAATTGACTTAAATTAAAGAATTTAAGCTGGAATTGCTCAAAAATGGCAGACTCCAAATCATCGAAATTGACCAACTTATAAGCTACTTTTCTACAAATTTGAAAAGGGCTTTTGTCCCCCATAGGCTGTCGATCATGGATATATATTCATTTGCTCAAAATAACTCAGTGGTGGCCACAGATTTGGCATCAAAGTGTCGGTCAAACTATCAGGTATCCAATTTGGATCCAAGGCAGATTTTTCAGTTAAGTCCCCCACCTTTCATATTCCTTTACTAAGCCTCCCAAAAATTTCAATTCCCTTCAATTAAGCCCTTAATCTTTTCAAATTAACCCTAAAACTTTTTATTCCTTCAAGCAAGGCCTCAAACTAAAAATTTTAACAGAAATTACTTATTTTCGAGATATTATAACCACTGTCTTGGGCCTTGCTTTAAGCCGTACAAACTCTTCTTAAGCTGGCAAACCAAGTTTTCCTTCCCAGGGACTTGAAATCCCTCTGGTTGCTCCACATAAATTTCTTCCTCAAAATCTCCATGGAGGAAAGCTGTTTTGATGTCAAGTTGTTCAATCTCCAAGTCAAGATTGGCAACAAGTGCAAGAACAACATGGATGGATGACATTTTTACCACTTGAGAGAATATTTCTTCGAAGTCTATTCTTTTCTTTTGTTCGAACCCTTTTGCGACAAGCCAAGACTTGTGCCTTAGTTTTTGTCCATTATCTTCAAACTTGGTCTTGAAAACTCATTTGTTTTTCAGAGCTCATCTTCCTTTAGGAAGCTATACCAAGTCATAAGTATGATTCTTATGCAGAGAATCCATCTCTTCCTCCATAACTCGAAGTCATTCTACCTTATATGTATCACTCATAGCTTCTACAAAATTTTGAGGTTCTCCTTCGATTGTGAGAGTCACATACTCGTTTGGAGGGTATCGAGAAAAATGTCTTCTTTCTCTATAAGATCGTCTCAATGAAAACTCTTGAGGAGGAGTAGGCTCAGTAATCTATGAGGTCTCTGCAATTTCTCCACTTTCGAACCCTTCTTATTCTCGAACTTTGATACTAGTGGTAACTTCTTCGATTCGAACTTCTGGCATAGCTCCCCCTGAATCATGTCTCACTGTGAGGAAAGTTTCGGATGCCTTAACCTTTGGTTTTT